CAGACGCAGGTCGGGCAGGCGCTGACGGCCACCGAGGGCCCGGCCTACAGCCAGTCGGCCATCTGCAGGTACCGCCAGCCCCTCGGCGTCCTGGGGGCACCCGGGCGGGGGCACCTGGGCGAAGGGAGGGCAGGGGGAGAGTTGGGAGAAATGGAGGAAAATTGGGAGAAATGGGGGGAAATGGGAGAGAAGGAAAATGAGGGAAAGGGAAAGTTGGGGAAAGGGAGGGAAATTGGGGAAGAGGAAAACTGGGGAAAGGCACAAAAATTAAGGAAATGGAGGAAAACTGGAGAAAAGGAGAAGCAGGGAAAGGGAGGCAAATGGGATAAAAGGAGGGAAAATGGAGAAAAGGAAAACTGGGGAAAGGGAGGGACATTGAGGAAAGGGAGGGAAATGGGGGACGAGGAAAATTGGGGAAAGGGATGAAAATTAAGGACAGGAGGGAAAACTGGAGAAAAGGAGAAGCAGGGAAAGGGAGGCAAATGGGATAAAAGGAGGGAAAAGGGGGAAAAGGAAAATTGGGGAGAGAGAGGGAAATTGGGGAAAGGGAGGGAAATGGGGGAAAAGGAAAACTGGGGAAAGGGAGGGACATTGGCGAAAGGGAGGGAAACGGGGGCAGAGGAAAATTGGGGAAAGGGACGAAAATGGGAGAAAGGGAGGAAGATGGGAGAAAAGGAGGAAAACTGGAGAAAAGGAAACTTAGGGAAAGGGAAAACTGGGGAAAGGGAGGAAAATAAGGGAAAATGAAAATTAGGGAAAGGGAGGGAAATTAAAGAAAGGGAGGAAAATGGGAGAAAGGGAGGAAAATGGGAGAGAAGGAAAATGAGGGAAAGGGTGTGTTCGTTCCTGGATTTCTGCGGCTTTCATGATGTCGCAGAATAGAAATAGTGCTTTTATGGGGTGAACAAGGCACTTGCGAATTTTCATATTGCTTTCCTGTCTTTTTTTTTTTCCCAGGTGTTTGTGCTGTAAATGGTCTCTTGTATGTCGTTGGAGGAGATGATGGTTCCTGTAATTTATCAACAGTGGAGTATTATAATCCAACAACTGATAAATGGACAGTTGTGTCATCTTGTATGAGTACAGGAAGAAGCTATGCAGGTAATGTATATAGGTATTTTTTTAACAGACCTTTTACAGTATAACAGCTAGGATAAGTAATTAAGGAAAATTGGGGAAAGGGAGGAAAGTTAGGGAAAGGGAGGAATATTGAAGAAAAGGAAAATCAGGGAAAGGGAGGAAAATGGGAGAAAGGGAGAAAAATGGAAGAAAAGGAAAATTGGGGAAAAAGAGGAAAATTAGACAAAAGGAAAATTAGGGGAAGGGAGAAAATGGGAGAAAAGGAGGAAAATCAGACAAAGGGAGGAAAATGGGAGAAAGGGAGGAAAACTGAAGGAAAGACAGGAAAAAATTGAAGGAAAGGAAGGAAAATTGAAGGAAAGGAAGGAAGCCAGAGAGAAGGAGGGAAATTGGAGAAAAGGGGGAGAATTAGATGTAAGGAAAATGGGGGAAAGGGAGGAAAATGGGAGAAAAGGAGGAGAATTAGCCAAATGGAAAATTAAGGAAAAGGAGGAGAAGAAAGTCAGAGAAAAGGAAAATTTGAGAAAAGGAGGAAAAATTGAGAAAGGGAGGAAACATGGAGAGGGGAAATGGGAGAAAAGGAGGAGAACTGGAGAAGGGGAGAAAGGGAGGAAAATTCGAGAAAGGGGGAATTGGAGAGAAGGAGGGAAATTAAAAGAAAAACTGCAGAAAAGGAGAAAAATTGGAGAAGAGGAAAATGGGAGGAAAATGGGAGGAAAATGGGAAGAAGATGGGAGGGAGGGAGGAAAATGGGAGGAAAGGGAGGAAACAGGGAGGGAAGGAGGAGAATGGGAGGGAGAGAAGGAGGAAGATGGGAGGAAAGGGAAGAAAATGGAAGGGAAGGAGGAAAATGGGAGGGAAGGAGGAAGATGGGAGGAAAGGGAGGAAAATGGGAAGAAGGGAAGGAGGGAAATGGGAGGGAAGGGAGGAAAATGGGAGGGAAGGAGGAAGCTGGGAGGGAGGGAGGGTGCCTGGGGTCCTCTCTGCGCCGTTGCTCCCGGCCGTGTCTCACTGGCCCCCAGCCCCGTCCC